CAAGCCACCCTCCACTAAGCTGCCAAGGAGGTTTGTGGGAAGCTTAGGTCTGACTATATTGCCCCACAGCCCTCCTCACTGAGCCCTGAGGGCTTCCTGTTGCCTTCAAGAACAAATAGAAAGTCATCTTTTTAACATTTAAAGCTCTTCATGACCCACCTTTCTGTCCTTCTTCCACTTTTCTCTCCTCCGTGAACTCTCCAGTCCAGCATCACTGGTCTGTGTGTCAGTTCTTTGGCTACATATCATCGCCATCACTGAGCCTTTGTACATGCCTCCCTTCCATTCTTGGTGTGCCTAACCTCTTAGCGTTTCCCTGATGTCCTCAAGACCCAGCTGAAATCCCACCTTCTACGGGAGATCTTTTCCAGTCTCCCCAGATGCTCATTTCTTCTCCTCTCAGGTTAACTCTTCCTTCTCCTCTGTAGGTATCTTCTATGTTTTTCTCTCCCATTAGAATGTAAGCTCCTTGAGGGCAGGAATTGTTCTTGCCCGCTTTTTTGGTGCCCCTAATGCTTAAGCACATGAGTGATTGATGATCTCTGAAGCGTGCCTTTATGATTTATTCCTACAATTGACTCTTCTCGGTTGGGCAACACCCATTTCCCTCAGAATCATTGTGGATGCCTCCTCCCTTTCCTCTCTTTTATTTCCTCCCCTATAATAATTCAGTTTGTCAGTTCATTTAATTAAAATAATGCAAACAAGGCAACATTTCCTCTTTTGGGAAGGAAAGGGATGTTTCCTGTTTGGGAAAGGAGGAATAAAATGAAGCCAACCTCCATCTTCTCCAGGACCTCCACCCATCATCCACCACCCTTCATCCCTTAGAGATGGCTGGCGTCAAAACTCATTCTGGCAAATGCCTAGCTGGGCAATCAACAAATATTGACTGAGCACCCATCATTCGTTGAGTCAACCCCAGCGAGGTGCCTCATAAGCTCTGCAACTTGGCACAGATGGAAGGAATTGGTTTTATTACTGGCTGGGGAGATGAGGCATAGACACATATATCAACATTGTAAAATGGATGTGGCAAGCCCTAGGAGTCCAGAGCAGGAAGCGCTAACTCTGGCATAGGGTGGGCCCAGAAATAACCTCCTAGGGATCCTGGGGTTTAGCTGGGCTTTAATGGAAGGGTAGGAGGAAAGGTAGGGTGGAGGAAGAGTATGAGGAAGTGGGTTTTCTTTCTTTCCTCCTCCTGATTGTAGAATTATAGAGGAGAGGAGCTCATGCCTGCCCCTCCCACAATTCCTAGATCCGGAATTGGCTGCTTACTTTACCCTGGGTTTTTTTCATTAGACCAGAAACTCCTCAAGAGCAAAGAATGAATAAATAAATACCTTCTCTTTCTCTGTGTTCTCCTCTCCCCTCTTCCCTACCCATTCCCCTTTTCATTCTAGCACAGCACCGTCCACGGTGTTGTGTGGTTAACAGACTGACTGTGGACTTAGCAGTTGGTTAAGAATTTACTGAGCCAATTTCGTTCATTCATTCGTTTGTTCGTTTGTTTGTTCATACACCAGTCCTATCTAGTGCTACTAAATGGGAACTATTATTGTTATATTAATTATTAGCACTATTAATTAAGTGCTATTATTATTACGTCTCAGTGTTCTAGACTGGAGGTGTCAAACCTGGGGTCCCCAACACTCCCAAGAGCAGCCTGAGCCAGATGAAAATGTAACTGGGAGCTAGTTAGCAAAATAAATAAAAATCCCATACAACATACATAATGTTACTATGTGGTTTTCTAAGTCAGCTGATGCCTGCAGGGAACCTTATGTATGGCTTAGTGGCCTGTTTCTATTTGAGTTTGACAATACCTGCTAAGACTGTAAACTGGAGAGAAGATGCCAACCTGTACTAGGAGAGGGACTTTCCTCATCTTGAACTTCTCTATATGAATGAAATCACAGGTCTAGACTTCTTTTTCTCCTTCTCTTTCTCCTCCTCTTCCTCCTCCTCCTGTCCACTCATTGGTACTTTTGATCTGTTCACCAGAACCCATTCAACCTTACTGAACCCTAAGTCAATACCTCCACCCCATCATGGAGAGCAGAGTTTTCCAGCATTAAAAACTCTTGTTGTTCAGTCTTTATTCAGTTGTGTCCAACTCTTCATGACCCCATTTGTGGTTTTCTTGGCAAAGATACTGGAGTGCTTTGCCATTTCCTTTTCCAGCTCATTTGACAGATGAGGAAATTGAGGCAAATATAGTTAAGTGATTTGCCCAGGGTCACAAAGCTAGTAAGTGCCTGAGGCTGGATTTGGACTTGGGTCTTCCTGATTCCAGGCCCGGTGCTCTATCCACTGCACCCCCTATCTGCCCACTCTAACTCTACCACTCATCTAAGGCCTGCCAGTGATTGGTGTATCTAGAGAGGGCATGACAGCCTGGTGAATACTGTCACAGTGCTACTGAATCATGTTATTTGGAAACTCATCTTGGAGAAGTGTCTGAGAAAAATCAATTTAGAAAGCACCCTTGAAAGGACCCAAAACATTAGGTGGCCAGAATTGCAGCCCTAACCACCAATTAGAACGCAAGGGAGCAAATGAGATCAGGGCTGTGGGCTTTCAATGCCTACTAATGCACCAGGGCTTTGCAGCAGTGTTCCCTGCAGTGGGATGAAGCATTGAATAAGGAAGGAGAAAGAGGGCACAGGGAAATAATCTGGCCAGAAGGCAGCCTGGACAAGCCGAGGCCCGCCATCTGGAGTGCCCGGGGGGTCCAGTGGGAAGCCAGTTACCCAATGGCCAAAGGCCCTGCTCCAAAAAAAAGAGACCTAGGAATCTGCCCCAAGGCTCCAGACAGCAGCAGAACAGGTGGGAGGTGGGGCCTGCCTACCTTTATTTCTGGATGATGGAATTTGTGATTTTCTAATTGGTTTTATTTGAGTTTGGGTCACCTCCTGAGATAGGAGAAGCATCATCCGGGCCCCTCCCTGTCTTCCACCCTACTCTTAAAAGATATTGAAACTTTCCAAGAGATTTAAATGGCTCAGGAGGCCCATGTCCTGGATCACCTGGCGCCTCCCTTGGGTATCTGACTGGCACATCAGCTGTGTGGGGTGCAGTCATACTCTGCCTATATCCCATTATGGGGGAAGAGGGGGAGGACGAGGAGGAAGAAGAAGAAGACTATGACGATGACAATGATGATGATGACGATGATGATGGTTTGGCCAGTGAAGTAAAAAAGGGACACGATTGTAGAAATATGTATAAATCACAATAATAGCTGACATTTTTCTGTTTGTATTTGTGGGGGAGGGGAACTGTACCTGTGATTTCATCGTATAGGCAGCTATCCAGAATAATGGATAGAGCGTTGGGCCTGAAGTCAGAAAGAACCTGAGTTCAAATCCTTCCCCAGACACTTACTAGTTATGTGAACCTAGGCAAGTCACTTAACCTCCATTTCCCTCAGTTTCCTGATATGTAAAATGTGGATAATAACAGTACCCACCCTCCAGGGATATTGTGAGGATCAAATGAGATGATATTTGTAAAGCACTTTGCAAACCTTCAAGTGCTATATAAATGTTGTTCAGTCATTTTTCAGTCACGTCTGACTCTGACCCCATTTGGGGTTTTCTTGGCAGAGATGCTGGAGTAGTTTGCCATTTCCTTCTCCAGCTCACTTGACAGATGAGGAAACTGAGGTGAACAGGATGAAATGACTTGCCCAGGGTCACACAGCAAGAATCTGAGGTCAGATTTGAACTCGGGTCTTCCCAACTCCAGGCCCAGTGCTCTATCCACTGACCCACCTAGCAGACCACTGTATAAGTGCTATTATTATTATTATGGTGATGATGATGATGATGATGATGATGATGAGAGAGCTACTAGTGATTCAACACAGCCTCTGAAACTTCGAGTCAGAAAATGTAAGATCTTTGAATAAATGAACGAAGTATTTATTAAGCACTTACTGGGTGCAAAGCACTGTGCTGAGTTCTGAGGAACACAGATAGAAATGTTAGATCCTCCCTGTTCTCAAGGAACCCATTCTAACCCTTGAGGGCAGGCCCGTTTTATTGCTGCCTGCCAACCACAACTCCTGGCATCTAGTAGGTGCTTAATAATTGCATAATGAATTGAATAAAGGACAAGAAGAAGGCGGAAAAGAGGAGAGAGTGAACATGTCAGACGCATGGGGAGGTGCCCTCTGAGGCTGCATCACGCCTGTGAGGTGACCCAGGCTGTACCGGGGGGCTGCTGGCTCTGGCAGACCCTGCCCAAGACAATAGACTGTGCCTGCTGTCCAAGGACCAGCCGTGGGGCAGAGACAGTCATCTTCTCCTGCATCTGGCAGCTTAGTTAGGCTCTTCAGCTGCTTCAGTGCATCCATGGAGATGCAGAGGGGGTGGCAATCAGTGTCAGTGGAGAGAATATCCATCCCTATGAAATCACAGGTGCTTGGAAGGTTCCATGCAACATGGCGGGTTTAGAGATGGGCATCATGGCCAACCTTGGAGTTAGGAAGGCCTGCCCTCTGGGTCTACCTCTGATTCATCTTGGTTGCTTGTGTGACCCTGGACCAGTCCCCCCCCCCAACCTCTCCTGCCCCAGGCAATTTTGTAATGCTGTAAATTACATACAAGTTGCTAACCCACATTGGTAGAGGGAGTTTCCACACCATGAAATAACAATATTCGCTAGTATTTGCATAGCATTTTAAAGTTTATAGGGCACTTGACATATGTCATTTGATCTTTACAATATCCCTAGGAGGGAGGTGCTATTTTCACCCCCCTTTTACATATGAGGAAACTGAGGCAGACAGAGGTAAAGTGACTCAGCCAGGGCCATATAGCTAGGCCGTGTCTGGGAGAAGACTCAAACTCAGGTCTTCCTGGTTCCAAGTCCAATGCTCTATTCCCTGTGCCACCCACATGCCAGAAGTCTAGGCTAAAATGAAAACAGTGGGGCTTGGGGGAGAGAGGGGACACCCTGGTATCACTTACCGCAAACATGTGTCTTATCCCTAGGTCTGGAAGAGGTCCGGGGCATGGTTCTACAAAGCACTACCGAAATACATCCTGCCGCTGAAGATACCGGGCCAAGCCAGTGAACCCCACTTCAGACTCCCCCCTGTGGAGCCTCGCATGAGTGACCCAAGGAGCGTCAGCACCAGGAGATCCTACACATGGGCCCGAGGGAAAGGTAGGTTCCTCTCCTCTCTAAAAACCCACCTCTCCCCCCACTCCCTAGTCCGACGTGCCTCTATCTCAAAGTGCAGTATGGGAAGGCAGAAAGAGCCTGGCATTTAGAGGCCAAGAATCTGAGTTCTAATTCGTCCTCTTTTAATTCTTAGCTTTGTGACCTCAAGCAATCCTTTAACCTCTTGGGGCCTCAGTTTCCTTCTCTGTAAAATGATGTGGTTGGACTTAGGGCCTTAAAGTCCCCTCCAGCTTCAAATCAATGATCCTATATTTCCAAAGGTCCTTTCCAGGCCTATGACCCCAGGATCCTATGACTGGGTTGGCCCCTCTCTGAGCAGAGAGGTGAGGCACCAGCAGGGGGAAATACTATATGCATTTTCAAACAATCATTGTATTAGATGTTTTGCTTAATTTAGTTATTGTTACAAGGGAGAGTTCAAGGGAGGGAATGGAAAAAATTGGGGAAAAGTAGGAAAAAGATGATGTAAAATTAAAAGATCAATGATAGTTTAAAAAAAATTCGGGTTAGATGACGTCTCAGACCTAAATGGACAAAGTCGGACTCTCTGAGATTTCCCCTTGGCTTCTTCTCTGCCCCCACCCCCAGCTCCCAAATCCCTCCCTTTGCCTCCTGGTCATCTGGCATGGGGAGGCAGGCTCTAATTGCCAGCAGAAACCAGGCTAGAAGGATTGTCTGTGACAGGCAGAGGAGCCCGGCTGGGAGCCAGAGAAGGCAGCTTGTCTCCCATCACTCTAATCAGCATTGATCTGGGGAGTGGAGGTGGCGAGACCTCAGACAGCTGCATGGATTTCTGCAGAAATACAGTCTCCATCATTTGGGGATTGGGGGTTTTTTCATGTTTTTCATGAAATATAAAAAATGTGTCTCATCAAAGAGACCTGTAGCTTTATTTTCTTTCTGCTCAATGACTGTGTCTCAGAGTTATGCCTAATTGAAGGGTCCCCTGCTACTGACAAGTACCCACTGTCTCCCTCCATGTTAGCTTGTTCGTGGTACTTCCTGGGACATCCTACCCCAGGTACCTCTCCCTGCAGCCTCCTAGACAGCACACACCATTCATCTCTTGTGTCAGAGGCTCATAGATGGAGAGCTGAAAGAGACCTCCGAGGCCATCTAATCCAGCCCTTTCATTTTGCAGATGAGGAAACTGAGGCCCAACAAGGTAACATGATTTAAGAGCTACTGTTCCTCCGAGACTTTGAAGTGCTGGGTTCAAGTATGGACTTTGGTACTCACTCGCCATGTGACCCTTGACAAGTCAATTCTTCTAAGCCTCAGTTTCCTCATCTATGAATAATATGTGCATTGCCTCACAGGGTTTTTGTGAGACTCCAGTGAGATGTCTGGGAAGCAATTTGTAAGGTTTAAAAGACTACGCTTAAATATGTATTATTTGTGTTAATCTCATTTTTATCACCATGTTTTAATGGAATTCACATAGAAGCAATTCTGGGGAAAGACCGTGTTATTGTTATGTATGTTTAATATTTGACAGCCTGTCAAATAAATATAAATAAAACATAACTACTTTTTTATTACTTGAATAAAAGTACTGGGATGTCAGCTTATCCTCTGTAGACTCACTGAAAACATCTTTGGGATGAGTCAAGTAACATACGGAATACCAGAGGTGACCTGAACCTTGTCCTGTTCCCACAGGGTTGTAATTCCTCCTGCTAGATCTCTATATTTTGAAAACTTTTCATTTTGTGTAGTTTGGAGATTATGAGTGTTTGGTACAGTGATATCTATTAACAATTCTATTCTTAAATTTTTATAAGTCAGCATTATACATGAGCGATTGTGGGCTATGATTCTCTCTCTAAAGGTACTTGCTGAATTCTCCAGGATGGTCTGAGGTTTTATGGAGAATACGCTATATATTAGTATATAAAGTAGTGAGGTTTAGGTGTCCCAAAAGTCTTAGTGCTGCTTTAAGCTTTTATACCTTCAGAACTATAACTACTACAAACTTACAAAAGTATCATTTGAAAATTTAATTCTTTAAATTTATTTTATACTTATCTAGGCTTCTGAATTTTGAAAAATAAATTTTCATTTCGGCAAGATGGGGCACCTTGTCCTTATGCACTGCGTGTGCAACAGTTTCAGAATGACATTCTTAGACTCATGGATGAGTACGGAAGGTCTTCTTACTTGGTCCCCTTGGCCATCTGATCTACCTCCATTAGACGGATTCTTGTGGAGTTCACATCAAAATCTCTCTCTCTGGGTGAGCCCAAGGTCAGGATTCCAAATGCAGTCATTTCGGTTACTGAGAAGCAGCTTGATGGAAGTTTTTAGAAAGCCTGAAAATCAACTGGAGCAATATATAGCACGAGATAGTAGTTATGTTGAATTTTAATAAGAAACATATCAACATTTGGAATTTTAAATAATTAGCCTTTCAAATTTTCTGGTAGGTTTGTAGAATTTACACTTCTGATGTTAATTTTTTTAATTTAAAATTTTTATTTTCAGTTACAAATTCTCTCCCTTCCTCCAGACCCTCCCCTACCCATTGAGAAGGCAAGCAATATGATACCCATTACACACATGATACACTTCTGAAGTTATAAAAGCTTAAAACCAAACTAAAACTTTTGGGACACCCTATAAAATTCCAGCCACCTCATTATGTCCCTCTATGTATCTGGTAGATAATACATTTTTGCATCCTCTGTGACATATTATGCTTTGCTGTATAATCTACCTTGATCAATAAATCCACACTTATTAAGATTAATCTTTTTTGTAATTTCTGGTGGCAGTGACCTGATCCTGAATCGCCATGATTAATCCCCTGGTTTTTATAGACAAATATGCACAATTCTGCCATTTGGTTAATGCTTCTCTGTTGCAATATCGTTGATTGAGTTTTACATGGTTGTCACCCATAAGAGGGGCTTTTGATTCCACTCTTGGACCTCAGCAATGTCATAGGCTCCATCTGGAGATAATACTTTTTGGTTACATTCAACAAATCCAGTGAAATATACCTATAGTTAGCCTCTATTGTTTCTTCAGAAGGTCTTTTTGTTCCAAAAGTATTTCTGTATGCTCTTAACTTGTTTATCATGTCCTTTAAGAGCCTCTACCAATCTCCTTCCACTTTTTTAGTGAGAAAATATTCAACTTTCTATAACTGCGATGGGGTAATGAACCCTGTTTTTCATTGACGTTGTATTGGTTTTAGTTTGAATACATTCTAGACCCATTGTCTTTCATTTTACCAGTCCAAAAGTATACAGTAACACTGCTATTGTGTAGGTGTTAATGACTCAAATGTGTTTTCCCCATTAAGTTTTGACTTTGGGATGCTAATCTGTCTCTTACCATATTCAATTTCATCTTCTCTCTGATAGCCTTCTACTTAGCGTGACTGACCTGGAAAAGACCAAGGAATGTGGCATGTATTGCCTTAATCCATTGGTTAATTTAACCTCCAGACTCAAGCTCAAAGCCTTAAGTCTTTCATGTCTTCCCTGATGTACACTGAGTGTCCAAATGACATTTTGATATCTTTGGAGAAAGTTTTTAGGAGATGGAAGAGCTGTTTAATGTGCCTTCAGGGTAGCCGTAAAACTCGATACTGTTCAAATATATTAAGTAATTAAGATGACATTTTGGTAGGATTCCCTCTTTGGCTGGAAAGCCTTTCTCAGTTCTATTTTGAGAATGATGATGGTGGATTCAGTGCTTGGCAGAAGCATAGCACGCCTCTGAAAGATGGCGCATTTTGTATCAATTGTTCTTGATGTTATGGTATTGGCAGCAGGTCTTAAACAGAGGATAATTTTCCACGTGGATATCAGACCCTCCAAGGAAGCCATAGCTAGATTTTTTCATGCCCAGGGGAAGCAGTATAAAAAGCAGACTAAAAATAAACTCAATTTGGGGATAAGGGAGATTGAGATTCCAGGACATGCCCAGTGGCCACTCTGTGAAGGCTGGGTGATGCTCGCCTGGGATATTGCAGTTTAAGTAATTGTCCGTGTGAACTGAGTGCTCACATTTAATTGTTTCTCTCAACCCATAGCATTTCTTTGTCGTGTTTTTAGTTTTTTTTAGTTTTTTTTTTTGTTTGTTTACTCATATCTCCAGCCTCAGTTTCTGTATTGGGACTTTGTACTCAGGTCAGCCTCCAATCTTTTGCCGTTTTGGATGAGGAGGCTGAGATTAAGGCCCCACCCTCTGCACAAATACTGGCTCCACTTGGATTTTGGCCTGAGCCCTTTCTCTGTCTTTCTTGCACAGTCCTGTCCTAGGAGTTGGTGCCATCTCTTAATGAGGTCTTGATAGGCCCCAAATGGCTATTGTTGATCATGCTGGTAGCATGCTTCCTGCAGGATTCCAGGTGCTTGGCCACTACCCTGGCCCTTTCCCTGCTCTGTCTCTGACCAGGGCCTCTTTGGAACTGTCCCTTCTGCCTTCCCTCGCTTGTTTCCCCTCAGAGCTGCCACAGGTTTCTGGAAGTCTTCTTCTTTTTTAAAAATTTTATTAATTTATTTTGATTTATCAACAATCACTTCCATAAGCTTTTAAGTTTTAATTTTTTCTCCCCCTCTCTCTCCCCCTCCCTCCCCAAGATGGCACACAATATGATATAGGCTATATATATACATTCCTATTAAGCATATTTTCACATTGGTGATATTGTAAGAAAGAATTAGAACCAATAGAAGGAACCACAAGAAAGAGGAAACAAAACAGAAGAAAAAAGAGCAAATAATATGCCTCGATCTACATTCAAGCTCCATAGTTCTTTCTTCTTTGTGGATAGCATTTTCCATCGTGAGACTTTTGGAGATGTCTTAGATCCTTGCATTGCTGAGAAGGGCTAAGTCTATCAAAGTTAGTCATCGAACAATGTGGCTGTTACTGTGTACAATGTTCTCCTGGTTCTGCTCACTTCACTCAGCATCAGTTCATACAAGTCTTTCCAGGTTTTTCTGAAGTCTGCCTGCTCATCATTTCTT